CTCTCAAGTTGCCGCCTCCTCCCTCCGCCTCCGAGGATTGCCATGGGATCCTCCCTCCGCTCAAGCTGCCGCCACCTCCAGATCGGCTCCCCCCGAATTTCACGCCGCTGGTCGTGACCGATGCATCGCTGGCATCTATAGAGAAGGGGTGGGTGGAGGTCGGGGGCCAGCATCGCCGGAGGTTGGAGAAGCTTCCGCCCCGCAAGAAGGAGACCGACCGCGCCCTCGCCTTCAAGCGGAGAGCATATGGGCTCTGTTTCCGTTGCTTGGCAGAAGACCACTTCGTCGCCGACTGTCGTGGGCCTGTCACCTGCCTGGGCTGCAGCCGTTCTGGGCATCGCGAGCGTGGCTGTCCGGACCGCCTCCTTGCCAGCCACGGTCATCTCCGCAGCGCCCTGTTGCCGCCGGCTGCTCCTCGCCTCCCCAAGCACCCGCCCCAACTCCTTCACCGAGGTTGCAGAAATGCTCGTGGGCCTCTATTGTTGCCGCTTCGACTGGGCTCATTCAAGGGTACCCTTGTAGCAACCCCGACGAGTCGACCTTGGTTGCTGATTTGGGGCTGCTGAAGCCCCTCTTTGCAGCTCAGACCGAGGCGCTACGCAACGAATTGCAGGCTCTGGTTACCGCTCGTGTGGAGGAGATCGTTCAACCCCTCCGCGACATGGCTATTGCTCTGCAGGGTTGGGCGGCCCAGGTCTCGGGCCTCTTGGAGCGGCTGGACGCTATCAGTGGCAAAGTGGTTGATTTGCCGGCCTTCAACCAGTCTCCTGAGGAGCGAGAGGGAGGGAATTTGGGGAATGGTGGGGGATTTTCTTCCCTGGAGCCTTTGGGTGTGCCTCCTCCCTGGTGCGAGCATGAGGAGCCGGCGCCCTCTGTTGTCGCCGATGATGTTCTTCCTGCTATGGATGTAGCTCTACACGAGATGGTATGTCAAGGTGAGGAGGAGCAAGCTAAGGTTGCTGAGATAGTCACATCAAGCAATGATTTGGAGCATTTTGAGGAGGCCTTACCTGATGGTTTGGTTGGAGAGGTGCCTCCCTTTGCCTCCTCTTCGGTGACGTTTGCTTCAGGGGGCACTACCAATATGGTGTCTTCTGGGTCCAAGGAGCCACTTGGTGATATTGGTGTGCCATCAACCACCTTGTTGGATGAGTTTCTAAGCGGTTTCAGTTGCGCAGCGCCGCGGTCCTTGCTCGAAGAACCGATTTATGTGCGGATTGACGGGGCATCTACTTGTTCCGAGAGGCGTAGTGGACGTTTGGAGAAGAAGAACAGGAGCTGCAACATTCCTACTGCCAAGCGCGCAGAATATAGGTTGACGGAGGCTTATGGGGAACTCCCGAAGGGGATGGCATCTAAGAAAGGCTTCGAGGAGGATGTGCAAGAAAAGATGAACTCTTATCTTCGGATGTACAAGAAACCGCCTACACCGACTGCGATCGAGGCAACTCGTGCATTGGTGGAGGCCAATGGTTGATCTCATGTTTCAAAAGGTTAGGTGCGAGTTCACTTCTAGTTGCAGGCCTGTTCTTGAGGTTGCAGTGGTTGTCTTGGTCAGGTATGCTGTGTTGACGGTGGTCTTGGGCCTCGGCACCCTTGTATCTGGCTCGGACGACGTCCCTTGAGTGCTAGTCTGGTGTGTGTGGTCTTCGCCGGTTTCCCTTAATTAACCGATGCATGTATGGTTTTTGGGTCCGGTTTTCCTTATTAACCGGACCAACTCTCTTCTTCTATATGCAAATGCGGGAGCTCCCTGCCCTCTGACGAGGTTTTCGTCAAAAATGGCACTTTTAACTCCCATGCCAAAGAGGGAAGTAGTAGGTTCCGTTTTTGCACTTTTGCCGCCCGAACCACTTGTACCTGTTATACACTTGTACCTTACGGGGTGCATATGCAGTATGCCAGGAACAAAGACAACTTAACTCAGAAAAGGAAACCAAAAAAACAAAGATGACTCGCCCTTGAGCCTTTGGATTTTTTCAATGGATGTTAACAGAACATGTGGCAAAAAGCACTTACACGTTTTAAAAAAAGTTGAAAAATATGGTCGAATACTAACATGTTCACTTGTTTTTTTTCTTGGCAAACATAAAACACATTGTGCAAAAATAAAAACAGCGTGGAAGTGGCGATCGATGTACCGAGTCAACCTGCAAATCTCCGGCATGTCCTGTCGTGTTGCCATAAAGGCAGGGTTTTCATCCTGCAAATCTCCGGATGTTCCAGGCTTGCAGTCTCCGCCTCATGGGTGCACATCACTGGCCTCACCCATGTCCCTCGTGGGGGTCGTCCTTCAGGTTGCAGCCAGGCAATGGAAGGTCGCCACCTAGAGCAGCTCCTTTCTGCCTACGAAATTTCTTCTGCGCCATGACCTAACTATTCCAGCGAAGTCGAAGGCTCGAGTCCAAAATAAAGAACAAACTAAAGACCGAAACGGATTCCTTGGCATGAAAGCGAGATGATCATTACAAAAACCACGGACAGATTTTACTGGAAAGCAATATTTCCTATTCTTCATAACAACTACTCCCTCCGTTTCAAAATAGATGACCCAACTTTGTACTAAAGCTAGTATAAAGTTGGGTCATCTATTTTGGAACGGAGGGAGTACATACAACAACAGTTTTACGATTGCCTCAAAACGAGCTAGCTAGAACTCTCCAAGATTGGAGGAAGGCACATCTCAGTACAAAGGGAGCGAGAACTCCTCAAAAGGAGCAAGAACTCTTCCTGCTCTCTAAGCGTACAACAAGCCATTCCCTAGAGGGATGAGGTGCTCGAACTCCCCAAGATGAAGGGAGGCACATCTCAGTCATCGGAACAGCCGGTTGTGCGGTTCAGTTCAAAGAGATTGACAGGGAACAAAACTCCAAAGCGGCACACTGAAGGTGCTTATTTAGAATTAGACTGGTGCACCCATCCTTCCCATAGAATACCACTGTACCTTCAAAATGCTCTATTCAGTGTTCTTCTAATATCTCATCTCTCGCATGTATAGCGACACTATAGAAACCTTTGAACAGTGTACTCAGCTCGGAAGTGTAATACTTGTTAATCATTCCGACAGGCCTCATACCACAATGATCTATCCTCTGAAAATCAAGCCTTTTTATAAGGGCATCAACACCCTCCTTGTGAAATCTACCACAACCATCTTGTTTCCCCAAGTACCAATGTCATATTGATGAAGTCACATCAGAAAACAGGTCATGGACTACGTTGAGACACTTGAAATGTAAATGGTAACCTCATGTCTGAAATCTACTTCTACAAAGTTTGCAGAGCATGCCAAAGTATGTTTGATGTACTAAATCACTAGTACAACACAACGCCTCTGCCTTGGAAGCTTAGAGGTCTCGAGTTGCATCTTCAGTAGTATGTATTACAGGGAGCTCTACTTTATAATGGTATAAGAGAGACTTGTAGTTGAGCCCCCATGTAGGTGCACCCCTTTATCTCGACTGTCCGATTTTGCATCAAAGTTCATGCGAAAAAACCACTTGTTTGATGGAGTAATTCTTGTATGATGCTGACCTTCAAAGTTTCAAGTTCAAATGTTCTCTTGTTTGGGAGAAACAAAAATGAGAATGCATGAGCTCCTTTCTGCCTCCAAAATCCCCCCTCGGATCCCTTGGGCGCTGGGAGCTAATCCCTATGAAACTAAAGATCAACAGGGAATCCTTTGGCATGAATGTGTGATGTTGATTTGCAAAAATCATGGACATATTTCATTGGGAAAGTAACATTTTCTGCTCTTCAACTTCGCAGGACAATAGTTATATTGTTCTCATCTTTATTCTATTTGACCTCTCAATTCGGTTAAGAGCAAACAGAGGAAACATGATCTCTTCATATTCAACCGACCGCTCTGTGATCTGGTACGATTAAATTTGCCACCTGCATTTCAGATAAACAAAAGTACTACACTACCACAACTCTGCAACAATATGCATCTAAACGAACATTTCTATCTGAATTAGGTACATATCCGTCGTCCCAGCATGGCAAATCCAGTTGGGTGTATATTTTGATTTTCAGATTGCCCAGCTAGTCCCCTTGGAAGATAAAAAGGAAATTATTTCGAAATGGTGGAAGAAAAAAATGGTTCATTTGAAGTGTGTTTCAGTCAATTTTGTGTTGTACATATGTTAGGCATGCAGTTCCCCTCTCTAAACTGAATTATCCCTAATGAAAATATACTACACACAGTTAAATCAGATGTTTTTCTAATGGTCACTGGGGAACAAACCACCCGCCTGAACATTTCATTGAGCAAAGAGGCAAAACGGTAGGTTACATGAAAAATAGGTCTAAAAGGCAGATTATGCAGCCAAGACTCGGTGATCGTTGAGTCACACCAGCAAAAGACCCAAGATACAACAACAAGGAGGGACTAGCTAGAGAGAAAGCTAAGCCAAAGCGACAAAACTTGGAAACCCATTCTTTCATGATCTATTTGCAGATCAAGCGAAGTTGGCCGTCCGCCGCAATATTGCGAGCGATGGCCACGGGCAACAGAGGGTGATCGCGGTCTGTGTTTTGAATTTCGTCCGAGAAAAACGGATTTCGGCTATCTCGGACAGGGGCGAAAAATACCTTCCAGCAAAAAAATGGATTTTGGTCAAAATTTGGTCAAATTTAATCCAAATTTGGGTCAAATTTCAGCCGAAAATTTTGAAAATAGCCGAAATTTGGCCATCTCGGTCTAGGGCGAAAAATTTCACAAACCGAAAGTCGAAACCTTGATCACGGTACACCTTCAAGTTGCAGCTTTTCCAATTGTTTCATAGCATGGCGATCGCGGCCATAGACGGAAGGTGAGGAGAGGAGGGCAGACCAGAGGCCGCAACTCAATATTTCGGGAGCGAGCGCCAAGAAAGCGTGCGTGTGTGCAAAGCTGAACAGGAGGTGCTTTGGAGTCTCTACCTCCCCACGGAAGGCACACACCACACTGGGAATGACATGGCGGTCTCATGGAAATGGGCCGCCCACAACGGACAACGAACGGTGGAAAGCAACGAAAAGGACATGCATTTCGGGAGCATGGCTGCGCCCAATCGTGAGGACGATGACGTTGACCGCATGCACCTCGATGGGTCTTTCAAGTCTCGACCAGGAAATGACGTCGACAGTCAACGTGCGTATGATTTTTTATCATCAGGGCAAACATGAAACTGCATTTTCTTCACCTCTTATTGTTCAAAGTTTTGTCAACAGATTCGGAAAACCCACCGATCCGTATGTGTCCGTAGGTTCGCACGACGGTGGCTGGATCATTGCTGTATTACCCTGTTGGTTGTCTGAATTTTCTTCGTTTCTATCTCAATGCGAATCAGTTGTTAGAATGGTCAATGAGCATATCTGAATCCTGAAGTGATATCATATGAGGCAGCCTGTATTGGTTCGTGCAGTGACAAGTGGGAAGGAAAATTAGGGGCGTGATCTGATTGATGGGATTAGAGATGGATTCGCATCCCGCCTTTTCTCTGTTATTTTATACTATGTGGTTGGTATGGATTTGTGAGCACACTTGGCACAGAAACTTAACTGGTAGAGAGCAGGAATTAGAACATCTGTCTGACCTCCTACGTTTATCTTTTTGTGCGGAGGAAAGGGGTTACAGTCATCACGAATATGATTAGAGTCAACAATGACATGCTGACAAACTTCAGAATAGAATCCAATCCCTGGAATTGAATGCCGCCAGCAGTGATTGTGCTTTTCTATAAGATTTGTATAGGCACTTAGAAAAATCTGGTACAGAAGTAAGAATGTGAAAAATGCTGACAAGAGGAAAACCATGACTTGAAAGACCATGTGTTTGTATGCATGGGCATGAATTTTCCTCCTAGTCGAACAATACCCAATAATACGTATGATACTGGTGGCAGTTGCATGCAAGCAGCCTTAAAAATATGCGCAAAGCTCTTCTATACCTACATATTTTAGACCCATCTATTCAGTGTTCTTCTAATACCCCATCTAAATTATGTGGTTGACTCCTTTGATCGTGTACTCATCTTGTCACTAGTAGAAAACAGGGCTTTGGTTGGAGCCTGCCAAGCCCATTAGTCCCGGTTCAGTCAAGAACCGGGACCCATGCGGGGCATACGTCCCGGTTCGTGCACCCAGGGGCCCGGCCGGACCTCGGGAGGCATTTGTCCCGGTTTATGTGGACCCATTTGTCCCGGTTCTAGGCATGAACCGGGACCAATGGGCCTCGCTCCTGGCTCACAGCCATTGGTCCCGGTTCGTGCCTAGAACCAGGAAAGAAGAGCGACCTTTAGTCTCGGTTCCAGTCACGAACCGGGACAAATGAGTTTCCTATATATACCCCCTCGTCGGCGAGCAGAGCAGTCCACACTGCTTTGTTTTTTTGACCGGCGAAGGGAGTGCATTTGGGTGCTCTAGCTCACCTTCTATGCACATGAGGTGTTCGATGAAATGCCCGAGGCATGCTAGTTAAGTTTTCTCCTC